TTCCAAGACATAATGTTTCATGGGTCAACCCAATTATCAGTTGGAATAAAACTGATACTGGAGCATTTTTTAAAATGATTTCACGGATTTTTTACAGAATATGATAAAAATTATTTTACATTTAAAGTGTTAAATATTGTTTTACTTTAAAAAAAAAATCTTATTGAAATGGCAGTTCACAAAGTTCTTCTCTTGTCTATTTCTCCTCAGGTCTTGTGACATTTGCTAAGTAGGAATTTCTCTCGGTGCCTGCACTTGTTCATTACTTCGCTTCTTTTATTCAATAGGTTTGCAATGTGCATCCTTAGATAACAATATACAAGTTTTAACCATCAGACAGAGATTCCACGTTTTTGCGAACGGATTATAAGGTTTAGCTTTACTAACTATTGACCAGGATATTGTAAATGGTTCGTTTATCTTGTTTAGACCCCAGATAAACTAGTATTATATTCATATATATAATTAACAACTAGTAAGAGGGTCCTCTATTTTAATCTTTTAGATTAAAAAAGAATTTACCCCTTCCTCAGTAAATAAGTCATACGTAGCTCTCTCAGTTTGTAAGAAATTACTAATATATACCCTGAGGAATATTTCAAAACTTTGATATGTTAAACTTAGACTATTTGATCTAACAGAATTCATAGTTGGAAATTTCAAAAACATGATAGGGATTAGAAAATCAGAGTTTGTGGCAAGGACTCATGTAGTTCCTTTACAATCATCTCCCCTATTTGTTAAAAATGCCCCCCCCCCTCCCCAACACACACACACTTTAACTAGTTAAAGTTAAAGTATAGGTATTTTTAATAAAGATAAGATTTTCAAGTAAAAAACTATCTTTTAATTTTTCTGTCCTCAATCCAAGCATAATTGAACAAAAATATTTTTTTTTATATCGACAAAATATTCAGTACATGAAAACTTAACAATGAAATATTAAGCTTAACGTGTTCAAATTCTGCATGTGTGCCTCAAAGGAACAGAGTTTTAGCCACAAATTCTGATTTTCAAATCGCTATATCTTTGCAACCTGATGGTGTTAACCTTTTATATTTCAAAGTTTGAAATATCAAAGGTCACTGACATTGAAATGCAAAGATAAAGGTATAAGAAAAGCAAATTTTGTGAAAAAAACTCAATTCCTTTACATGCTTGATACTTGTCTGTTGGTGTAAGTATAAGATTGTATGTAGATTGTATGTAGATGCCTATGCCTGTAAATGTATATATAATTGCCTTTAATAGCCTAGAGAGGTTTATGCATCCTTGCACCCTTGAATACATCACAAGATACAGGGTGAAACATTTAGAAATACCGCAATTTCTTCTAATCTTTACTAAATACAGGGTGAAATACAGTATGATAAACATCTTCTAAATACCGCAATAAACATTATCTATTCTTTACTAAATACAGGGTGTAAATGTAGCAATAAACGTATTCTAATCTTTACTAAATACAGGGTGTAGATACAGTAACCAACATCTTCTGATCTTTACTAAATACAGGGTGTAAATAAGTAGTAATATTATCCTACAGACTTTCTTCCTTCATAATAGAAGTTAACCTTAGTACAAGTTTATTAATATTATCCTACAGACTTTCTTCCTTCATAATCAGTTTGGGAGAAGGGGGGGGGGGGGGAGATTTAGCTGAAACAGCAGATTTTAAATATAGAAATCAAATCTAGTTAAATCAACTTGTATAATTCTATGTTAAATACTAATTCTACATATTTAAACGTATGTACGTCTGAGTAATCGCATTGTCTATCTTCTTTCCCTCTTTATAAACAGTTCTTCGTTTTTTCACAATAATTTGAATTCTTCAAGGTAAGTCTTAAATGTCAAAGGTTTACACCATGAGGTTACAAAGATATAGAGACCTGAAGTTTTTAGTTTGTGTCAAAAACTCAATTCCTTTGTCTTGGGCAAGATCAGAGTTATCATTTTTTTGTGAAATGATGTGAAGCATTACTTTTCCACTGTGACAACTTTTAATATGATCCTTTAGTTTCGATTATCCCTGTCATGGGTTTAAGATCAATTTAAAAGTTTTATTTATTGTTTCGTGCACGATCAAATTCTTTCAAGTCCATGTTTGATCCTCTTTTTCGCGATTTCATGCACTCATCAATACACATTTCTATTTCCCCCAAATAGATAATCAAGTACAATAGGTAGCAACAGAGAAATGGATCAAGTGTCAAATCTAACAAGAAAAACGAAATTTTCTCACATTGGTTGACATGTTTTCATATATTAAATAAAAAAGTGTAAAAACAGAAAATGAAGAAAATATAAAATTGCACTTATTTTACTGTAAAAAAAGCACTTTGTTCTAAAATCATCACTATTATTAATAATTTTGTCGGACACAAAAACTGAATTGACACTTGTGACGTAAGAATACAGCTGTACTGAGAGTGTTCAAATTCTACTTTGCCATCTATTGTACTAGAATATATTTGATTTCCCCTATTTCTTTTAAGAAAAAAAAATCGTCAACTCAAATTGTACTGTGGAGCGAACAGGCTAAAAATTCAATTTAAGTTTTCTTTTGAAACTAAACCCTGATGGAGCAATTGTAGGAAATTAAGACGCCTTCACGCTTAAAAAAGGAATGTTCATGGTGTTTGGTTTCGGGGTTACTTGGGTTAATTAGAAATCAGACAAAGCTCGGAATATCCTTGATTTTCTATTTAACCATGTTAATAAAACAGACAGTTTATTAAACAAAGTTTTCGGGTAAAATTATTATTACAAATATTTTAATCATTAAGAAATATAAAGATGCATCTTTTTATCAACAACTCAATTAATTGATTAGTTTATACTAATCAATTATATCAATGTATTGACAAAGTTAAGAAAGAATTTAATCACGAGTAAAATTAAAACGAAAATATGGAGAAAACAATAAAGAAGGTTAAATGTTTAAAAATTCTTGTACAAGAACAGCCAATTCACACAAAAACATGAAGCTAATGGAGAAAAAAGTAAAAATTCTTACAGAAAAAAAATTAAGTGAAAGAAATAAAATGAAACATAAGATCAACTGGTTGTTGGAAAAAATGTTGATTTGTAAGACGGAGAACGGAGAGAATAAATTGATATGGAAAAGTAATTGAGTTTTTCCCACAAATTCAAATTTTCTTATCCCTATATCTTTGCAACTTGTTGGTGTAAACTTTGATTATTTGATCTAACGTCATTCATAGTTTAAAAATCTAACGTCTACACTACACCACACTGCACTGTGGGTTGCAGAGGCAAAGGGCATAGAAAATCAAAGTTTGAGACAAAGACTCAATTTTTTTATTTATAAAAAAATAAGATAAAGAATAAGGTAATAGTAAAAATCAAAGACTAAGATTAAGATAAAAAAATTGTAAATTGAAAAAAATATTAGATTAAAAGTGGTGAAACAAAGAATTGACCCAAACGTGATAAAACTGGGGGAAATCTATGAAAGATAGTTAGAAAATTGAACAATAAAGACCTATGAAAGAAAACTAATTGATTCTTACGCAATTGTCGCGGCTTGAACTTTGGACACGCAACTTTACGCAGACAGATGTACTGTAATCAATCTGGTTTTGTTCAGCCTGGGAATTTCTTTAAAATTTAAGATTATAATCAGAGCATGGTCATTGTTCATCGAACTATTTAATTTACTTAACCCTCATAGTGGGGTGGGGGGGGGGGGGTTTAAAGGGACAGACCGGCTTTGTAAGGTAGTTAAACTGAGTAGCAGTGATGTGGACAGATTCTTTAGGATTCATTTGAGACATATCAAACTTTTTTAAGATCTGTAAATCCTATCGAGTTTGCGCGCAAAGTCGACGTTCAAAATCATAAATTTGGGTGGGTACGTTTTCAGAATAGTTTTTTTTAATTATTAATAACGTCGACAAAAAATATTGTAAAAATTCAATAGTAACCTAATTAGATGTTTAGGAATATATTTTTCAAAAGAAATTTGTCAATAAATCATAGCTAAAATAAATAATTTCTTTTTTTTGTCATTTTATTGAATGTCTTTTTTCTATGAATTTGTTCGCAGATATCTACAAATTCTTCAAATGTCCTCTTTTTAAAAATTCCAGAAAATCTGCAGAAACTCTTTATGATTAAAGGGAGATTATAGAAACTAATAATTAATATATTACTTATTTTCGATGATAAGAGTTAATTTTTATTTTCAAAAAAAACTCAATAGTTTACTGTAGAATTTTGTTTACTTTTTTTTCGTTGTTATTTAATAATTAAGAAAAACAAAATTCTGAAAACGTATCCACCCAAAAGTAAGATTTTGAAGGTCGACTTTACGCCTAAACGCAGAATTTAAAGATCTTTAAAAAGTTAATTTTTTATGTCTCAAATGAATCCAAAAGAATTTGTCCACAACACTGCATACTCAGTTTAACTACCTTGCATGGTCTGTACCTTTAAGGGCTCTTTATATCAGGTGGAGAGGGGGGAGGGGGGTCAAGGGGGTGACGGCTCTGTATCTTTGTCGTCGCTTTTTTGGAAACTGAATCCTTAAGATTCTTCACTTCAAAATAATGATTAAGGTTAACGGAGTTTTGATGATTTTTTGTTCTAAAGCACAGAATAGGATACAGACCAGTGTTACATGCTGATATTTGTGAAATAATTTTTGTTTTTACATTTATACTTATGTTTTTAAATTTTAGGATTTTAAAACTTTTTAAAGGAACCCGATAAATTTGTGAAGGTTCCTGCATGTCAAAACTATATTCAATGAAAGTTTGTTTTTACTAAATAATCGCTATTTTGGCATATCTTCTGTTGGGGGTTAAGATTCCTGCAAAGGAAATTTTTAAGGTTAAGTACAGATATTTCTGACATTTGTAAATCTTCTCAGATTTGTATTAAACCTTAAAGTTAAAGTGGCAATTTACCACTCATCATCTTGTTTAAATAGTTTTAAAAAAAGAGCTTTTCTTCCTCTAAACTAAAGAGACCCCTTTAATATGCATTTCTATATTTTTACTATTTCAGCACATTCTCAGAATTACATAAATTGCACTTTAAACTATATTGAAGCTATGGAATTTTTCCTCAATTATATAAATCCCTTGTAGCTCAGTAATGATATTATGTACTTGAGTTGTGCATCACTAGGATTTTACTAATAAGATGATCGCCTAATTTACATCATGGGGCCAACAGAACCTCCACGGCCCTTTGCTTTATATCTGGCCAACACTTGCTCATTGATATCAGCACGCTCTTCAGCTTGTTCAAGATCCGCTTGAACCTTGCGGAACTTAGCCAGGTTCAGAGCAGCAATTTCTTCAGCTTCTTCTATCTGCTTCTTGTAGGATTTGACCTTGTTCTGGAGTTTATCAACCAGTTCTTGCATCCTCTCATGGTTCTTGTGATCTTCATCTTGAGAGAAAGTAAGTTCTTTAATTCTGCGCTCAGTTCTACGTTGAGCCTTTTGGGCATCTACAAGCCTTCGCTGCTCATCATCGAATTGACTCTCCAAGTCTTTAATCTTCTGCTCAAGTCTAAAATAAAAAATATAAAATAAGATTTTCAACTTGTTGTTGTCTGCTATTAACAAATTCTTGGACATACCTGGAAGTGATCTTTCTGCCTCCCTTCATTGCCAACTGCTCTGCTTCATCCAGCTTGCTCTGCATATCCTTGACTTGGTAGTCCAGGCTCTTTCTTGTTTTCTCGCAATATTGAGCATTTTCCTGCTCAATTCTTAGTTCATCAGCAAGACGAGCAGCATCAATCATAGCCTTCTTAGCTCTTTCTTCAGCCATTTTACTTTCAGTCAGCATTTCCTCAAGATCAGCCTAAAAAAAATTGTAATTAGAAAATAATAAGTGTTTTGCTTATCAATATTTTCATAAAATCATACTTACATGCATGGTTTGCATTTCAGAGTCAAGCTTCCTCTTGCTGGACTGAAGAGCTTGATTTTGAAGGGTAGTATCAGAAAGTTGTTCCAAAACATCCGACAGCTCCTGCTCAGCAGTTCTACGCTGGCGATCAGCATGCTCAAGCTGAGTCTTGCATTCTTCAAGTTCATTTTGGACAGCATGTGACCTTCTTTCTGCTTGGATAAGTTGTTCTCTTGCCTTATCCCTATGAATTTGCTCCTGCTCAAGGGTTAGCTGCATGTCTTTGATTTGCTGCTGGTATCTTTTGATAGATCTTTGAGATTCAGCATTTGATCCATTAGCATGCTCCAAAGCAATATCCAGTTCATTAATGTCAGATTCAAGCTTTTTCTTCTGACGGATAGCTTCTCCCTTGGCTCTTGTTTCATTCTCAAGAGAGGACTGCATAGACTCAATTGCCTTCTGGTGAGTTTTCCTCAAACCATCAAATTCTTCTTCCTTTTCTTTAATTCTTCTTTCAATTTCTTGCTTGACCTGACTTAGCTCTAGCTGTGAGCGAAGTACCTTGTTTTCCTCCTGCTCAAGTGCAGACTCAGCTTCCTCAAGAGCAGCTTGAAGCTCAAGCTTCTCATTCTCCAGACGCTTTCTGATTTTGTCAATTTCATGAATAGTTCTACCTCCTTCTCCAATTTGATCCATTATGTCCTTAATCTCAGTTGAAAGATTCTTGTTCTCTCTGCGAACAACATCAAGCTGTTGCTGTGATTCATCATAGACTGTTTTCACCTTGAACAGCTCAGTAGAGTAGCTCCTGCATTCTACCTGAGTTTGATCAAGTTCAGCTTGAAGAGAGTCAATCTTGTTTTTCCATTCAATAACAATTCTATCAAAATTTTTTGCTTTCTTTTCCATCTGGAAACATCTTGCCTGAGCATCATCCAACATTCCTCCAACTTCTTCAATTTCAGACTGAAGCTTCATTTTCTCCTTCTCCAGAGCCATGGCTTTGTTGTTGAAGTTCTGAACTGTAGCCTCTGCTTCAGCCAATCTTGACTGCAGTTTCATTTTAGCTGACTCTAACTCTTCAGATCTAGCAAGACCATCCTTCTCATACTTCATTCTCCACATTTGAGCATCACCAACAGACTTTGAAAGCATTCTAAGAGCATCTGCCTTAGATTGGGTTTCTTCCTCAAGTTGCTCTCTGGTGGTGTCAACCTCATGTTCAAGATTTCGGAATTTTCCGAGCAGAAAAGCCCGTTCCTTTGCTTCATCATCAGCAATTTTTCTCTGCTCATCCAACTGAGCACTCAAGGTTTGCCTAATTTTACTCAAAACATTATTGTTGTTATCCAACTCTTCAATGTTTCTCAATATATCAGCATTTTCAATGACAATCTTTTTCTTTGAATTGTCAAAGTCAGAGAGAGTTAGATTAGCCTCCTCACATCTTCTGGTCAGATCACTCAATTGTTGGTTAAGAAGATGGTTTTGTTTCTCAACAGTGGCCTTTTCATTAGCAACTGTATCCATACCTCCCTTAACTTCATCAATCTGGAGCCTTTTGCCATGCTTCTCTTTTTCAACCTTCTGCTTCATCTTGTTCAGTTGATCTACTTGTTCAGACATTTCAGCAACTGCATCAAGATGCTTTTTCTTCAGGCTAGCAAGAGTAGATTCATGCTGAATTGCAGCCTCTTCTAAATCTCTGCGAAGTTTTCCAATTTCAGCCTCTCGCTTTTTGTTAAGCTCAATTTGAGCAGATGTTGCTCCTCCAGCTTCATCAAGTCTCTCTGCCAAATCATCCAACTCCCGAGCAAGAGTGCCCCTCTGTTTTTCAGCCTTTGATCTTGCTTGACGCTCAGCTTCAAGCTCTTCTTCATTTACTTCAATGCGAGCCTGCATTTCCTTAATAGTTTTCTGAAGCTTGGATACTACGTTTTGTTCTTCTTCTAACTTTGTTTGATTTCCTGAAACTTCTTTCTCTTTTTTTGCAATAAGACCTTCCAGCTCTTTTTTCTCTCTCTCAAGATCATTTACCATTTCTTGAGTAACCTTCAGATCAGCTTCTACCTTCCTTCGCTGTTTATCCATGTCCAATCTACCCTTCTTCTCTCTCTCAAGAGAATCCTCTAATTCATCCAAAGTAACCTCAAGCTTAGCTTTTATTTTGTTGAGATGGTCAAGCTTTTCTTCTGCAGAAGTTAGCTCCTCGCTAGACTTTGCTTGAGTTTCTTGCATGTGCTTCTTCTCTTTGTTTAGCTTATTGATAAGCTCATCTTGTTGAGCAATTTCATCATTCATATTTCTAATTGTGTGGTCACGATTAGTTTTTTCTTGATCTGCTTTCTGAATGGCCATCTCCATATCTTCAATATCTTTCCTGAAGCTTGAAAGATCAGTCTCAAACTTTCGTTTTTTCTCATTCATCTCATTCCTTCTTGCCTCTGTGTCAGAGAGGGTTCTTTGTGTTTTCGCAAGTTCATCTTCTTTTTCCGCTTTTGAAGCACTTGCTTTGGCAAGATCTTGCTGATATGAAGACAGGTCTCCTTGTTCTTGCTCAATTTGATGCATCATATCTTTCTTATCCTGAGTCATCTGCTTGATTCCTGCAAGATAACCATCTCTTGCTGTAACTTCCTTGTCATATGCTTCACAAGCGATTGCAGCCTCTGCCTCTAAAGCAGCAATTTCATCCTCAATATTTACCTGGCCAATAAACCTCTTGGTTGCATTTATCAAAAAGTACCATGTCCAGTCACGGAAAAATATATACTTCTTGAAGTTCCTCTGTATTACTGGAATAAAGTTTCTTTTGGCGATTTCCACTTTGTGCTGTTTCCTTCCCAAGTATCCTCTACATATTCCTTGGAAGTAGTTTAGAATTGCTTTAATACACTCATCTCTCACCTCTTCAAGGATACCAATTGTACCAGCTCTAAAGAAAACTTTTGTATGACCAAGACGCCACCTGTCATCTGCATCTTTGCAAGCCTCTAAGATAATTTTAGCTGCTAGTTTTTGGTCATCTCCCGCAGCATACACTTCTTTTGGCTTGATGATGATAAATCTGTGCCTAAAGTCAGCATAGAAGCATCTATTTGGGAAACCTCTTCTGCAAATTCTAATTCCTTCCAGCACACCATTACAAGTAAGCTGATGCATTACAAGGGCTGAGTCTAGAAGACCGGGTGTTTTGAAGTTATTTGGCACAATACAACGAATGAAATGGGGATCTGTTGAATTCAAAGTTGTTAAAAGGGCATCAAGCTGGTTTCTAAAAGCAGAAGACACAGTTTTGAATACTTTTGTGTCTTTTCCTTTCTTTCCTTTCTCTTTGCCTTTGTTAGGATCTTCCTCCGGCTGACCTGGATGGTCACGGAACAAATAAACAACAAGAGCATTATCAGCCTTTTTCATCTGATCTACTACAGTGTCATTGATAGGATCTTTGTTCTTAGTCAGCCAGTCAGTGAGGTTATAGTTAACAATACCAGCATAATGGGCAATAGCAAAATGGGCATTTTTATCTTTTGATCCAGGTTGCTTTTTGAGAAACACAGGGGATTTTCCCAACAAATTCTCTTTCAATTTATCCTCAAAAGATTTGTCAGATGCCTTGGGGAAAAGAGTTTCTTCCTCTAGAATAGCTAGTAAACCCATGGGCTTCTCCATAAGCTGGATAGTTGCCTCTAAATCCATGCCAAAGTCCACCATCTCCCATTCAATACCTTCCCTCACATATTCTTCTTGTTCAAGAACAAACATGTGATGGTTGAAAAACTGTTGAAGCTTTTCATTACAGAAGTTGATACAAATTTGTTCAAAGGTGTTGAACTCAAAGATTTCAAAGCCAGCAATATCAAGTACACCAATAAAGTTGACTTTCTTCATGGTAGGGTCAATAAGAGTACGGTTGCAAAGATCAACAAGCCACATGAACAGTCGATTGTACATAGATCTTGCGAGCGCAGCAATTGAGTTCAGACAGTTATCAGCATTCTGTCCTTTGTAAACCCACTCAGTACCAACCTTTATCTTGGGTCTGATAAAGTTACCATAGAATAGATTCCAATTTTCAATTCCACAAAGTTTGCACACATTCTGGCCAGGAATGGGGTCATCCATTTCACAAGACTCTTCACGACCCTTCTGCTTGAAGGTCATTTCCCCAAGATGAATAATGGCAGCAGTAAGCTTGAACGCATTTTGCTTTTCTTCCAAGGTAAAGCCAAGAACATCAAAAGCCTGATCAGTGAACTCCAATTCTTCTTGATCATCAATGGAGTCAACCTTAACTTTTCCCTGGGAGATAAAAAAGTAGTCATATGGGTCAGTGGAGAGACAGCACATCTCCTGAAGGCCTTCTACAGGTCCAACTTCAACAAGCTGGAAAAAGATGTGGTAGCATCTCTCATTAGGTTGTTGATAAGTTACACGAGACTTCTCAAGCAAATAGACATCAATGAAGCCACCAGCAAGTTTACCCATGTGATTGAAATAAATTCTGATGAACTTACCCTAAACAAAATATTTTAACTTAACATTTTTCATTAATTTTTTATCTAAATTTTGTGTACTTACAAAGCGAGATGAGTTGTCATTACGGATGGTTTTTGCATTTCCATAAGATTCTAGAATTGGATTAGTCTGAACAATTCTGTCCTCTAAATTTGCTTTCTTCTCCTCTGCAGGAGCTCCATCCTTCTTTGCTTTTTCATTGGCACCAAGAATAGCAAAGTATGTGATGACTTTCTTGGTGTTTTCAGTTTTACCAGCACCAGACTCTCCAGTAATCAACATAGACTGATCCTTCTGGTTAGTCATCATCTGTTGGTATGCACCATCAGAAATAGCAAAGAGATGAGGTGGTACCTCATTCCTTCTCTTACCAATATACATTCTAACAACCCTATTGGTGTATATGGGGTACCTCTTGTAGGGATTGATGACAATACAGAAAAGTCCAGAATAAGTCTAAATTATATAATTCTTTATCAATTTACAGATAACTTCTCTCATATTAAAAAATATAAACATTTCTCCATAAAATAAATAAAATAAGAGTATGCTGGGATGAATAATAAGTGATTTTCTTACATAGATGAGTTTTGCGACATATCTAGCCTTCAAATTCCAGAGAACACTGGCCTCGTTGAGATAGGTCATGTTGGACACATCATCAAACTTCTCCATCTTAGGTGGATTGATCTGCATGACCTTATCAGCTTTGAAAGTCTTGGGCTCCCAACCAACTTTGACATCAATCATGTCTCCTTTCACCTAATTAGGTTAATATTATTATTATTGAAGGACAACCTGTTTGAAAGTGAAAGTGGGGCCTGCGCTCATGTCCAACAAATGTATCAATGGATCCCAATTTATCCCAAGAGGAAACTTCATATCAATCCCTATCTGCAATTACCTCCTGAATCATTGCTTCATCATAACCTCCCTCACCATCAGGAACCCAAACAGACTTCTTGGGATCATAAGGCTTTAGAGAGTCTTCTTTCTTCATCTCAAAAGAGACAAAAAGAAATGGTGCCGGATCTAAATTAAGATTTTGTTAAATCATTTTGTTGAGGATTTATCAAATTGTTTCAATTGTTTATAAAAACGGCCAAACATTTCAGCTTGTAGTCACAAAGCTGCACACAGATGTCTAGGAGGTTCCTTTTGCATCTCGTTAGATAGGAACCAAGGTCCTGATGAACCTGATTTACAAAAAATTATTTCTTAAAAATATTTAAATGAAAGTGGGAATTAAAAGAAATAATTTATGGGTTTTACCTGGATCCGGTTCCTTGGAACCTCCTGCCTTCACGTGGCCAGGCATGTTGTCTCAAGTCTAGAAAATATAGCTCTTATTCTGAGATACAATCAAGCTAGTATCAACAAGTTTCTTTTTCTTTGTTAGACCTCAGTATTGCATTTTAATCATTTTAATAATTTTTGTATTTTAAGACTGGTTTAAATTATAACATTAGACACAAACCTATTGTTAAGCTTTGATGCCTTATTTAATATTTTAGAGCTTTAAAGTAATGATTAAATAAACTTTAAAAAAGATAGGCCCTTTTTACAGCTTTTAAATGTTGCCTTTCTAGGCAACCTTTTTTGTACCTATTAATAAAAATCCTTAATTTTTCCATTTACAATGTTTGAAGTAATAAGACATATGAATATATAAATGTATATTGTGTAAAGAATAATTGTGTTCAAAAAGAATTGCAAACAAGTCTCAAAGTGTGTTGCCAACAATGTTAAAAAACAAATAACTATAAACTGATTCACATATTACGATCTAGTTCATATTTAGATCAATTCCAAAAATTGTCTGTCTGCAAGAACAATTAAATTATTTTGAGTTCTATTTTTTATATAGAAGAGTTTTTCTGATATCAAAGAAGTACAATTTTTGCCACAAACTTACTTATTCCTATATTTGCCACAAACAGGTTTATTCCTATATTTGCCACAAACTTTTTTATTTCTATATTTTCCACAAACAGACTAATTCCTATATTTGCCACAAACAGGCTTATTCCTATATTTGCCACAAACAGACTTATTCCTATATTTGCCACAAACTTGTTTATTCCTATATTTGCCACAAACAGGCTTATTCCAATATTTGCCACAAACAGGCTTATTCCAATATTTGTCACAAACAGGCTTATTCCAATATTTGCCACAAACTTGTTTATTCCTATATTTGCCACAAACATGTTTATTCCTATATTTGCCACAAACAGGCTTATTCCAATATTTGCCACAAACAGGCTTATTCCAATATTTGCCACAAATAGGCTCATTGCTTTATTTGCCACAAACAGGTTTATTCCTATATTTGCCACAAACAGACTTATTCCTATATTTTTGTTGTAAACCTAAAATTCTGTTGGATTAAATAATTTAATTTGAAATACAGGGTGTCCCACGAAACATGACAGTATGCAAGACAACTTGAATATCGTCTTGATTTTTGATATAATTTGCTGAATTTATTTGTCAACCTAATTTTAGAAGTAAATTTCTAGAGATAATAATCACAAAATTCCCCTAGTCCTGCCATTTCCAAAATATGGTCTTCATTTTTTGTGCTTTCAATATTGCCCGAGATATGAACAATTTCGTTCAGATTTCGACAATTTTGCTTTATTTAACAAAATTGAAATCTGAACCAAACTCTTTATATCTCCGGTAATATTGAAAGCACAAAAAACGCAGACCACTTTTTGGAAATGCCAGGAGAATTATGTGATAATTGTTTCAAGAATCATACATGTTAAAGTAGATAGAAGACTAAATGTCACAAATAAATTCAAAAATCAAAGACGACTTTCAAGTCGTCTTGATATTGTCATGTTTCGTGGGACACCCTGTATCATAGGGTTCCCAGAAAACAGAGGCTGAAGTAAAAGAGAAGTTTAAATTAACTTTTGCCGTCAAGAAGTTGAGTTTTAGTCGAGTTTCAGAAGTTCATTTCACCAAATGGGCGAAACCTTGTGGTGGAATTAAACAAAACTTTTAAACCATTGAATGTAACTTGGTTCAAACGCCGGTTGTAGTTCCGCCCAGTTCTGATTGGTGTACTATCAGGGTGCAAAGATATAAAGATATAATATCAGGGTGCACAGATATAAAGAGTAAAAAATTTGAGTTTGAGACAAAAAATTAACTTCTTTAAAAAAAATGCTTTAACCACAAAGTCAAATTTTCTAACCCCTAAATGTTTGCAACCTTTTAATATTTAAAACCTAAATTATTTGATACCATTGGGTTGCAAGGATATATGAATTAGAAAATTCGAGCTGGTGGCAAAAACTCAGAACTGTTGAGATCTAGTAATATGAAAGAGTGGAAGTAGCTGGAAGGGTACTTTGAATGAAGGGGTTGAAGACACAATATTTTGAAATTATGTGATCTAAATTCTAATACCTTTTATCAGGGAGCCTAGGTCCTGTGCTCTCAAGGTATACCTGGAGAGTGAAGGGTGTGGGGGAACCTGTGTACAAGGAAACCTAGATTGACCAGCCTAGTGGTGACTGGAGGAACCTAGAGCTGGCCGATATCCAACCCAAGATCAGTTCAAGGGGGGAGAAGAATAAACTGCTGAGTTGGCAGTTTTAAGGTTTTACGCAACTCCTAACGTCCAGCTTATATAGATACTTGATTATGAATCAGATTATAGAAATTTCCAGAAATTTACGTCGAAACATCCTGCTTAATATGGCCGAATTTTACTAAAAAATTACTACTACACAACTGTTGTTTACTCAGAAAACAACACAAAAATATTTGAAAATTATTTATTTAATTTTAGGTGTAAAAAGTTTCCGATATTATGATATTTCATAAAAAAGCATAATAAGAAAAAAAATTGTTTTTGTAAGTTATAAAACTGTACTTTATTTAGTTCTCTTGCAGATAAGCTGTTATGTCTACATATAATCATATAAAGCGCAAATATTAGTTACCGCATAAATTATACTTGCAAATAATATTTAAGAATACATTTATGCAATGATAAAATTTGACCCGGAGCTGAGGCAAGAATTCAAGCATCAGCAGATTTTTTCACAGCATTTTACCACTTAAAGGGACTATAGACGTTATTTTCCCTCTTAAAGGAACTATATACGTTTTTTTTCTTCTTAAAGGGACTATAAACGTTATTTTCCCTCTTAAAGAGACTGTAGACGTTATTTTTCCTCTTAAAGGGAATATAGACGTTATTTTCCCTCATAAAAAGATTATAGACGTCATTTTCCCTCTTAAAAAGATTATAGACGTTATTTTTCCTCTTAAAGGGACTATAAACGTTATTTTCCCTCTTAAAGAGACTGTACACGTTATTTTTCCTCTTAAAGGGACTATAGACATTATTGTCCCTCTTAAAAGACTATAGACGTTATTTTCCCTCATAAAAAGATTATAGACGTTATTTTTCCTCTTACAGTGAATATAGACGTTATTTACCCTCATAAAGGGACAATAGACGTTGTTTTTCCTCTTAATGGGACTATAGACGTTATTTTCCCTCTTAAAGGGACTATAGACGTTATTTTCCCTGTTAATGGGACTATAGACGTTATTTTCCCTCTTAAAGGGACTAAAGACGTTATTTTCCCTCTTAAATGGACTATAGACGTTATTTTCCCTCTTAAAGGGACTATAGACGTTAGTTTCCCTCTTAAAGGGACTAAGACGTTATTTTCCCTCTTAAAGGGACTAAAGACTTTATTTACCCTCATAAAGGGACTAAAGACGTTATTTTCCCTCTTAAAGGGACTATGGACGTTATGTTTCCTCTTACAGAGACTATAGACGTTACTTCGATCATCATTTCTAGAAAAAATTACGGGGTTCTGTTATTTTCTATATCTTTATTTTCAGTCTAAAAATTACTTCATGTTGCAAGCAAATTTATATTACACTAGCTTGGGAACCCAGCGTTGCACTTGGTACTTGCTACTTCAACCGTCTACCCGCACTTAGACGTATTTAACAGGGAAACTAAAATAAAGAGCTCCAATCAAAATTTGAGGCAAATCGGTCCAAGGGTTTTTGAGTTATTATAGGACAAAGAAACAGACAGACACACAAACAGAGATTACAATTTATAAAGATTAAAAGAAATAAAACAACGATATATTCCTCATTGTTGATTGAATATATAGGGCTAAAGGGGCATTGTTTTGAACCGGGCATGTTGGGCCGGAAGACGATATCTAGAGGAGTCGATGGAGAACCAATTCAGCTGAACCAAAAACAATTCCAAGTTCTCGATATATATATATATATATACAGGGTGTCCCAAAAAACATGGGAATTCAGTGACGAATTGGATATCGTCTTTGTTATGAACTAGCATTGTAATACCTAATTTCAAAAGTCATGTCTGCTAGAGTTTGTTTTATGAAGAGGGTAAATGGCTGTAAAGATGTGTCTATGATGTCTCCGCAAGATGAACAGTGAAGACGGACAAGTTTACTATGTTTGTATACTGCAATTTTCTTGTTTTACTGAGGACAACCTTATGCAGTCAAAACATAAACAAACAAAATGTGAACATAGCAGACGAAACTCTTACAGATTACAGGTTTCTCAGAAGGTATCACTAAACTAAATTAAAGAATTATCTAAAAAGATGATATCAAATTTGTCACTGAATTCCCATGTTTATTGGGACACCCTATATATATATATATATATATATAGATATATATATATATATATATATTAATATNCTATAAGCTCAATAAACTAAAGTTCAATTATCTTTTTTTATTTTACGATAAGAGCTCTTAAATTTCCTCAGGGTCAGGATTCATGAATCGCTAAATTGCAAAATAGGGTGGACTTCGTCATTTCTTGCCCCCCCCTACAGGGGGGGGCAAGACTTCTTAAGGGAGGGGCATGCCCCCCCCTTAATCAGGCAAGGGGGGGGCCTGGCCCCCCTGGCCCCCCCCCCTAGTTGCGCGCCTGCCTTTAATTACGTCGACAGTCCCTTTTATTAAAACTAATGTATATTAAAATGTTAATCAATGACTCATGACTATCGTCTGAACTGAAAACTCATCATTAGTGGACAGTCATGCATAAGACGATTATAAATGTCGTCTTCAAGAAATTTTTATCTTATTTGAAGTTCTAGCTCGGGAACCCAGATTTGACTGAAAAAAGTTGACAATCTAAGCTTTAAATTTATAAACAAAACTAAAAAATTCAGGGTTCTAACAAGTTCCTTATCACAAACAAACAGACTGACAAACTAAGTTTTCTATTTAATAAAGATTAATATATTGATACACCTTATCGCAGAAAATAAAATTATGTTAATACTTCCAGTTGTGGTTCGTTCTTCTCTCTATTCATTTTGCTTCTGCTCATCTCGATTCTCTCCTGTTGCCCTCATTTCCTTCAGACGCAGTCACAAAAGTCATAATATGTTTGTCATAAATATGTTTTTCATAAATACATTTGTTCTAATACATAATTTTTATAAATTACATTTTTCATAAATTACAAAAGTCATAGATAACACAAGTCATAAATTCCATTTGTCATAACTACGTTTTTATTGTATACAAATCATACATTTCTAATAATTTATCCCATTTTAACATGTTTAAGAAAGTAGAAAATCCGCGATTGTTTTAAATCAAATCTGCTTAACTATCTTTTCTCGGAAATTGCATGGAACATGGATCGTCTTATGAGATTTGAGAAAACATCTAAATATGTCGAAGCTGTTGATGCTCACCACAACACTTATTACCTCAACATCAACAAAACAATGTAAACTACTGGTTATGTTCCAGTAAAAGCTGCAACAAAAGGATTGTTACCCGAAAATCGACTGGAAACCTGGTATGTGACTCTCTCCCTGAACATGATCATGGGAACAATGTCAAGAAACAGAAAACAATGCAGCTAGAGAATCAGGTAGTGGAAAGAATGGCTGGGAATGTATCAAATACTTGACGGAGTATTCTGTCAGAGGTGACCAACTCCCTTCTTGCTGAAACCTCTGGAGGACTGCATGGAATGCGATCAGCTAGAGCCATCAAAACCAATTGGTATGGCGTGCATGGCAGAAGTTTAACCCCATGCCAAAGATATCAATCATCAAGATATCATGGAAATCCCAGAGCTACCTATAATAAGCTGGCTAAAACTAAAGATGGCCAATATATAAGGTAAATATATATATAAGGCCTTGCCTGTCCTAGCCGCAGGTCTCGCCCCCCCCCCCCCCACCCATTATAACCATGCCTTAACCTACAATAATAAAGAAATAAGTAATAAGAAATTTGTCCAATCTTACTTAATTGTCTGTCCAATGTTTTTCACAGTATCTTTTATCATAAATATGATGAGATTCTGAACGGTGATATTTATTCCAACAATGCACTTGAGAGTTTCAATGGAGTTAGGAACAACCAGCTTGGAACAAAGACAAATGTTTGAAGAATATGTGAACGGTTTGTTGAGGAGGAAGCTCTTATATGACAAAATCTTCTTGCCTCAGTTGCTGGACAGGATCAATTCACAAACAGTAGGAGAGATAAGCGTCGCAGAGAGAAACTTAACACGCTTACAAATATTGTCAGCAATTATTATCTTCTACCCCAGGATGATTATCTAAAGTCTCTAGCTAGTGAAATTGCTAAGTCGGACAAATAGCAAGTCTTGTATTACAAATATAATGTAAACATATTTGAAAATATCTCACCATCAAATAAAGCAAATCTAAAGAAACTGCCTAAGTTCTGGAAACCCAGTGTTAGTTTCAACGCAATGTGCGAAAATCTATCAAGCCTTGAAGTGCTGTCTTCATACCACATTTTAAAGACGAAAAACACTAGACAGGGACCAAGAAAATCCATTTCTGAAAACCACTAACTAAACTATACTCATGTTTAAAGCCTTGTATGGCTTCTGTTTTTTGGCAAACCCTGTCAATCATAAAGCGCGATATCCAGAGAAAAGACAATTAGTATTAAATTGTAAACTTTTATATTGTTTAATGTAATTTTGCTTTAGACAAATATGATGAATAAATACGTTTTCAAATATCGATGAACACAATCCCTGTAAGAGATATTCATCACGTTCACATCTAAATATTTCAACATTTTATGTAAACATGTGAACACTAATAATCCAGAATAATCCGGTATTCTTAATATTTTATATTTTGCAATATTTACAAATTTATCTATATTCATAGTTTTGGTGTTTATAGCTTTGCTGCACTCTACTCTACGATGCAGATGTGAAAATAAACAAATTAGGGCAAGTGCAGTTTTCTTAAGGGATCTTTATATTTTACAAAAGAAAAAAAATAAATTTATTTGTTTATTTGCAGCTTGTAGTTTTAAGAGCTATCTGACATCTATATACATATATATTGTAGAAAACAAAAAGCTCGAGTTGATCTAGTAGATATCTCCTCTACTTCACAAAAGCGAGTTGATCTGGTTGATATCTCCTCTTCTCCACATACACGAGTTGATCTGGTTGATATCTCCTCTTTTCCACATACATGAGTTGATCTGGTAGATATCTCCTCTACTCCACATACATGAGTTGATCTGGTAGATATCTCCTCTACTCCACATACACGAGTTGATCTGGTAGATATCTCCACTACTCCGCATACACGAGTTGATCAGGTAGATATCTCCTCAACTCTACATACATGAGTTGATCTGGTAGATATCTCTTCTACTCCACATACACGAGTTGATCTAGTTGATATCTCCCCATCTCCACATACACGAGTTGATCTGGTAGATATTTCCTCTACTCCACATACATGAGTTGCAAATAAAACCTAGAAATAAAAATACAGTTTTTGTAAATAAACTTTTGGTATAAATCGTTTTTAATATTTGATGATATAACTTACTAGTGGGGTATATGTGGGGGAAAATATGGAGTCTGAAAAATAAATATTCATTTACTATATTTAAACGTTTTCACTTTTCAATGATTCCTCTATCTATTGTCGGAGGTATTCGGTTTGAGTTGCTCTGGGATGGAGGGGGGGGGGGGTTATTATTTTGAAAAGACGACATCTCTTGGAGAAGGTTTCAAATTGGATTTATGGTCTTCACGTATATATATATAGAAGTGTATTCTGTTTAAAATCCGATCATAACTCATGAACCCTTTGACCGGTTTTCTTTAAATTTTAAGGAACACAATGGAACCACGGAATATCTAAAAATCAAAGTAGAGTCGGTTAAAATATATACTAGACATTATTTTCCAATCAAAGCTGGGTTTCCAAGCTAGGTTGTTATCATCAAGTCTAAATTCTACATCGCTGAAAATATTGCTCATTTTTCGGAACGTTCACTTAATTTTTTTTTAATTTAACGCTTTCAAAATGCAGTACAGAAAACGAGAATAGAAAAAATAACCCTGTAGCGCGCGTTGTATCTATTTTGTTTACAATTTACAATTTGATTCTGAATGATTTTTAAACATATGTTATAAATTTTGTTTAATTACAAATTACTTCTCTACACATATTAAGAAAATAACTCATTTTCAGCAAATACCAAATAAGCAAGCACTTCAACACATACAGAAGTAGAAGTTTAAATTCATGTGCAACATTACGCATACGAATTTGTGATCTCGTTGCTCTTCTAGTTTTGATTTTATGCGAAATCATGAAAAAATGAATTTATCCAGTTGCATATTGGAATTTCAAAACATTTTTCTTGTTTGCTATGCTCTTCAATTAGAGAAGTTATAATTGAAACATAAAACATTTCAATCATTCGTGAAATCAACTTTAGTTTGACGTGAAGCCGAGAAATCTAAATTTTGAATATTTTACTTCATGAATATTGAATAATGAGAATGTATTGAGAATTAATGTAGGTAAAGGGGGAGGGGTAACTAGTTGAAATGTATATTGGGTAGAGCTTGAAATATATCCCTGAAATGTGAGCCTTAGTTCTGGGTATATGCTCAGTTTAGGCAGATATATAGCAGAACTAGGGGAGTTAGTTGTTTATTTATATTTTACATAGACAACGTAAAAACAGAGAAGTTGTTTATTCATTTGTATATCATAGGCAACATAAAACTGACAAAGAATTAATAATTATTTCCATAGACAATGTATAATCAAAGACAAGTGGAGCTATATATTACTTTTCACCATGGACAAAGTATAAACAACAATGGAGTTGTTTATTCTATTCTACCGTTGCAAAGTATAAACAAGCGGGTCTGTTGTTTATTCATTTGTTTATTATTGTTTATTGAATAAATAGACAAAATCAGTTGTGATGTTTGTTATCCCCATAGAATTAGTAAAACGAAGAAGGCATTTGTTAATCATTTCCATAGACAACGCATTGTATAGACACAATAAGTTGTAATGTTTATTATTTGCATAGAAACACAGAAGGAAACGGGTGTATTTTGGCGTTTACGTCTTGAAAACAAAAGCTAAAAACAAGTGTTTTAAATTCCTAAAATTGAAATGTATGCTACAGTTAAACCCCAAATAAGCCATACATCGAAAGAATAATCAAATGTCGTATTCTTAACTTTCTGATAATGGAATGTTGCAGATATTTAGTTTTTTAATTGAATGATTGTATGCAGCTCTTTAAAACTGTTCCCGCATATTCATGACTATTTATTTATTTTCTCAAATACTGAGATTTAAGTAAAATAGAATAAAACCCATTGTCAAGACGACATTTGATAAGTTCTTTCGATGTATGGTTTATTTAGGAGAAAGTTAGTGAGTTAAATTAAATGTCAAGGCATTGCGACATTTAAAGATGACCTAGATCTTAAAAATGATATTGTTGCAGTATAAAATGGATTGTAAATATTATAAAATATGATATAAACATTATAAATGGTTTTTTGGCGCTTCCAAGTCCTTTTATATTTTATACAGCCTCATTTTGTGTGCGCATCTCATGGAAAATACTGTTTTCTTATATAATATATTATTTTTTTTTCAGAAAAAATTGTATTGGTCGGTGAAATGAAAGCATTAATTGCTCTTTGCTTGCTTGCATTGAGTTTTCAAGGTAAATTATAAATAGAGTACTCAGGACTCACAAAAACTAAAAATACTTTATACATTGTCTATTCCAATAAATTATAACTTGATTCTAGATTCTTGATATATTCAAAAGGTCCAATTAGCACGAGACACAACAATGGTGCAGTGTAAACAGGCCCATTTCATTTAATTAGTGATTTAACAAGTGTCTAATAAAACTATTTGCTTTGTAATAACGTCAAATACACTTAAGTGATGCTTACAATGTCGTCTTCCTATTCAAATGTTTTCTGGTTATCACTGTATATATGTATTGTAGAAGCGATATATTTTCCAGGGGGACTTACATTTTTTTCTTTACAGGGGGCTCAGCTCTCCCCTCGTAGAACCTAAAAACCCGCTAAAACTGGTCCAGGGGGTGGGGGGCTGAGACGAAATACCCCCCCCCCTCCCTCCACGAATATCCCTCTGATGTAAATAGTTACCCACAAAGAATGAGACTGTAAAGACGACCTGAAACTAATTAAATATGACGATCCCGAGTTTAAATAAAGTATTCTGCTCATCTAAATGATTTAATAAAGAAAGCTACAAATTTACAATCCCAGAGAATCATTAATACAAGGAAACAGATAATATAAATTCTGTAATGTCATCTTTGAAGTCTCATCCTTTGTGGATAACCCTGTATTGTACGTATCAACGTAGTAAGCCAACATGATAAATGTCGCCTTCTTAAAGAAAATTATGTCTTATTTTAGTTGGTTTCTGTAAAAAGAATTGGGATTGGGAGAGAAAAACTTTTTCATTTTTGGAATTGGATGAAAATGAGGAAAAGGAGGAAAAAGATGAAAATATTGAGGAAATGCAAGAAATAGATGATATAATGAACATGCTGAAAGAAGATGAAGATGAAAATACAGCGGTAATTTTTTAATGAAACTCAGAACCCCCTTGCATTTTCTTTTTTGTGAACCCATGTACATACACAATTTTTTAGCATACAAGTCAAATGATCTTAGTTTGACAACGTGAAAATTATGTTTTGTTTTTCTCGCGTTAGCCTAAATGTTTGCATTGCAAATTTTAGAATTAATTTAAAAGTCGATTTACAATTGCAGGGGATATTAGTTCCAAAACTAATTCTTGGTCCATTTCTAACACTGAGCGTTAGAAATGGGCCAAATCTGCAAAGTTATCTTTTTCAAGAGTAGAACAAACATACGCCAAATATTTATAAAAAATGGGTAAACTATATATTGAAACAATAAATGTCAATATTAAACTAACAATAAGGTGTGAGAATTAGTTTTTAATGACTCTTGATTTCATTTTCGAACATATCCCTATTTTGAAACATTTACCGGATTTCAGCTCATGTCGCGTTTTCGAAACATATCCTGGTTTTGAGACAATTACCGGAATTCATATGAATGTCAATTTTCAAGTATTTAAGCACTTATGAAACAAAAAAAGATTTTTTGATAAGGTAAAATAGAAACAAAATAGAAAATAAAAACAAGATGTTCTTTTGTAATTTAAAAATCATTACAGCATTGAAAAATCAAAATATTAATATCATTTATTCTTACAATATAGATTTAACTTGAAATGCGGGAAACTGTTTTGTCTCGGAAACGCGACATTGTTTCAAATTCAGGATATGTTCGAAAATGAAAAACCTGACATTGTCTTGAAAACGGTCAAGAGATGTAATATAAAAAAGAACTCCTTTTATAATTTTTATTTAAATAAAAAGTTTAAACTTGGGAATTCTTGTCCTCGTCATGTTTAATAAAATGTTAGTTATCGTTTTTATTATCGACTTTTACTCTGGATATGGGCCGGGATCCCAAAAACCCAGTCTTTCAATTTGTGCCCATTTCTAACACTCAGTGTTAGAAATGGGCAAAGTGTTAGTTTTGGAACTAATGTCCCCTGAATTGTAAATCAAGATATATAAAACTATCAATTTAATCCAGAACAATCCCTTTGGTTTACATTTAATCAAATGAAAGCAGTGGAAGAAAATATTTCCTGAAAGTTTACCAAACTGCACAAACTGCACAATCTATTTGGCAAATGTCGACAATGTTTCATTCAAACGACACACAACTTGGAAACCAATCCAATAAAATTATCTAGTTTCAAATAATGCCTTTCTTTTCAGGTTTTGCGCAAATTGTTTTTTTTAATATCTTTTGCAAAAGAGTGCGAATTTTATGATTAGTTAAAGTGGTAAGCGTTTGTATCAATACAATGCTTACAACTTTCTGGCAAGCTTTTACATGATCAGAGATTTACAGAGCGTCCCATATCATATTAGATTATATCCAATCTTTAACGCCAAAATACGCACATAATACTCACAAAACCTAGCATTTTCTGCAACACTTTTTTTCTATTAGCCTTATTAAATTTTTCAAAATGATTCATTCTTTTTAAATTTCCTGATTTGTCCCCCAAATCTTAATTTAGACCCATTGACGCGGTCTAATTTGATGTGGGGCACCCTGTATATGAAAGAAATGAGTAGATTGGTAAAATAAACTATCTGTGAGGTAGGGTTTCCACGAAATGACCATATTTTTGGCGCAAAATTTTCTTATAAATAATTTGTTTGCGAACTTTTGCGCATATTTTGCTAATGAAGAGAATAAGTTTTGCGTAATTTGCGCAAAACCGAAAGTAAAGTGCAAAGCGTAAATTATTAGGCAAAACATGTTATTGCAAATGGACCAAAATTGACGGTTTCAGCACAGAATCAAACAAATGAATGTTTATTAAAAATGTACATAGAAATAAATTATGATTCTGCTGATCTCAATTGGTTACTTTTTGTTACAAAATCTTCAAATTGAGGGATAAATATGAATAAAACAGAAATCAGAAGTTTAAAATTTGAAAAAATAATCACAGTTTTTATTGTTGTCTGAATCTTTGTATCAAAGGTCTAAGCTTAAGACAACACTAAAACTTAGTCATCAAATTTGAAGTGTGGCAACTTTTTGTAGGACTAGACATATTTAATATAAAAATACTTCGCGTCTGTTTTTATCTTAAGTTTAAAATGAGTAATTGGCAAAATGCTGCTCGACTTTGTTTTGAGATCGTGCACATCTTATTTTGAAGTGTGCCATCATGTATCAAGTTTTAAAATAGAGTTTTAGGCAAGTAATCATTTCCTTTTTAGTTATTAAAATAATACGGAAAAAAGTTCAATCTCATAGATAACTAATTTATACAGTTTACGCCTTTATTTAAACTTTTACTGACAATTTGTTCCACAAAATTGCACAAAACAGAATAACGCGGAAAAGCGCATTTTGCGCGAAATGAAGTTTGCGAATGATTGTCCAAAGTACTATATTGTCGCGCAAAAATGTAGCGCAAAGAAAGCAAAATTTTCGCTTTCTTTCGCAAAAATTGCGCAAAAGTTTTGCGAATGGAAACCCTATTCTGAAGACACAGAGAAATGTAAAATTTTGGTTTTGGTTTTTTTGACCGAAAACGAACGAAATTCTCAATATCTCTGTCTGGGAATATTGATTGCACAAAGAAGGAAGATGATGTTTTGGAAAGGCCATGACTAGAGGATTGTATGATTTAATTGTTTTATGTAAAAGTAGAGGTTGACGAGCGAATGCCGCAAATATATTTTCATTTCTTAGACGACCTTCATTTCGTCCTTTTACTGTCATATATATATATATATGATTATAAAAGATTAATGTAATAATATTAAACATTTATTGTTCAAAACAAAACTTAGGCTAAATACATCATTTAAAAAAATGCACAAATCTAATACTGCTTGTACAATATGCAGGATCATTGTACCGGGGTACACTGTGGACCTGGCCGTGAATGCACAGAAGGAAAGTGTACATGTGTTAAAGGTAAATATGTCCAATGCAGGGTTATATATTATTTTCCAAGCGTCAAAAAAAATTGAAGAATAGAGAAAATAGAAAGAGAAAAAAATTATGCTTACGTATTGAATTTTGAGATTAAAGCTTTTTGTCGAGGAGGAAAATCCTAAATGTACATTGTACATTAAAGAATATATTACGCGGCATTATTTTCATATTGAAAGTATGTCATTTAAGTTTAAAAGAACATTTTCTAAAAAAAAAGGAATTTAAATTTTTCATTTTTACCTGGTGAAACAAGGAAAAGGGAAATAAAATACCATCATCTTAAGGTGGTTAAAAACAAAGCATCCAGTGCAGTTTTTGCTTTGTCAAGTGTAAAAAATTTTCTTCCTAGTAATATTAAACTAACCATTTACAACTCATTATTTCGATCATTTATAGAATATGCAATTTCAGCCTGGGGATGTAACAAATGTTCAGAAATGAAACAAATTCACATTTTACAGAAACGAGCAATACGATTAATTGATAACTCAAAAGCCACGTCTCATAGTGATCCTCTTTTCCTTAAGTATAAGATTCTAAAGATTAATGATCTGGTAGACTTTAACCAAGCTATATTTATGTATAAATATACACATAAACTTCTTCCTGCATCTTTTGAAAATATTTTTAAAAAGCTTGGAAACTTTGAAAGATCTCTTAACTATCAACTTGACATTCTCAAAATGTGCTCATTACAGTATTTACCATCAAGCTCTCTTCTTAAGATGTGGAATAAACTGCCTCTTGACTTAAAAAGAAGCAACTCTCTAAGTATATTTAAAAATAGACTACTAAATTCTCTTTTTGAAAATTATAGGACAATGTGTTATAAACCGAATTGCTATTCATGTAAAACTAATTAGATATGTTTTAATAAGCTTTGATATTTGTTGTGTACATGTCTGAAAATTACTTTAAACTCTAGTTATTTGAATTTATGTATAAACTATTTTGCATATTATAAATTCGCACCCTGATCTCTAATCGTTCTCCTTAAATCTATTTATTTGAAATATTTTGTTATTATTACTAACATTTATTTTAGCAATAAACTTTATCTTATCTTATCTTATTCACTATGACCTATACAAGGTTACCCCCAAAGGATGAGACTTCAGAGACGATTGTACAGAATTTTTTTTTTCTGTTTTCTTACATTCAGAGTTCCATGCAGATCAAAGCTGGCTTATCTTTGTGTGCTTAACCATTTGGTAAACCATAAAAATACTCAATTAAATGCAAAAACCAAAAATCAAGCTTTTAATCTTCATATTTTTTAGTTTTGAGTCGTCTTTACAGTCTTATCCTTTGTGGTTAACACTGTAGCTTGAAATCCCAGCTTTGGTTGGAAACTATTCTCTCTTTATATAAATAAAAGATATTTTTGTAGTCGACCCTAGAAACAATTTTCATCTTCCACCGATTGTTTTTTAAAAAGGGACAGACCGGCTATGTAAGGTAGTTAAACTGAGTATGCACTGCAGTGTCGTGTACAAATTCGTTAGGATTCATTTGAGACATATAAAACGTTTCCACAATGTATAATTACTGAGTTTGAGCTCAAAGTCGACGTTCAAAATGATGATTAGAAACATTAGAATTAGATGTTTAGGAACATATTTCTGGAAAGAAATTTGTCAATAAATCAATGTTAGAATTAATTATTTCCTTTTTCATCACTATATTGAATTTCTTACTTTCTATGAATTTATTCACAGATTTCTTCAAATTCTTCAAATGTCGTCTTTTTAATAAGAATTCCAGAAAATCTGCAGAAAATCTTTGCTATTAAAAAGAGATTAAAGAAACTATAATAAAAGAATAAGATTACTTATTTTGGATGACTAAACGAAACAACTGATTAGAAAACGTATCTACCCAAAAGTACGATTTTGAACGTCTACTTTACCCTTGAACTCAGGATTTGCACATCTTTAAAAAGTTTTATATGTCTCAAATTAATCCTAAAGAATTTGTCCACAACACTGCATACTCAGTTTATCTACCTAACAAAGCCGGTCTGTCCCTTTAAGCTAAAGACATTCCTATTGTTCTACTAAGTTCTCCAAATCAGAGTTTGAGGCAAGAGGTTCAAACTCCTTGAGTTAAATTTAATCGGACACACAAACACACAGACAAATACACAATCAGAGATTACTACTTATATATAATAGAAATGATTACTATCAAAGGAAGAAAATAATATCTTGAGAGGTTTCTTTTATGTTCAATTATATCAATATAAAAGTATAATATATATTTATTATTTTACACGTAATATAACTTGTTGCATTTTATAAAACACGACCCTGAGAACTCGGCTTTTCCTGGAATTCTAAACCTTGCTCAATAATAGTCAAACCATTAAACAAAAGTATATAAACAAAAGTAATTATTACCCCCCCCCCCTCCCTAATTCAAAATATTTTTCATCAACTTTTATACTTTTACTAAAATTGTTTTTTCCAGTTAATCGTATTTATATTTTTTCAATTTAAAAACATAATGTTTACGATTCATGATTATTCCCCTCCAGGGGACCTCCAGGCTCTTCCTGATTCATGGTTATTCCCCTCCAGGGGACCTCCAGGCTCTTCCTGATTCATGGTTATTCCCCTCCAGGGGACCTCCAGGCTCTTGCTGATAAAATTCATACTCTTCCCTTCTAGCCTTTCTCTTTATAATATACGTGTATCCCTCTAAAACACTTTTTCACCCACCTTATGTACGATGTACATTATCCCCCCTGGTTAGTCATATTTATAGGTAAAGACTGTATACGCTCGTGGATGACTTTATTTCCCTAAATACACTTTATTTCCCTGAATACACTTTATTTCCGTGGATAGTGGATTTACTTTATTCCCCTGAAAGACTGTATTCCCCCTTGTAGACGTTATTCCTTCTGACATACTTTACTCCTCTTGAAAGACTTTATTCCCCTGAAAGACTTTATTCCCCAGAAAGACTTTATTCCCCTTGATAGATTTTAATCCCCTTGATAGATTTTATTCCTCCTGAAAGACTTTATTCCTCCTGATAAACTGTATTCCTCCTGATAGGATGTGTTCCTCCTGATAGACTTTATTACTTCTGATAGACTGTATTCCCACTAATAGATGCATTCCCACAGATTTCTGTATTCCTCATGATTTAACGTATTCCCCTTAATAGACTGTATTCGCACTGATAGACTGTTTTCTCACTGAGTTTCACTGATAGACTGCATTCTCACCGAGAGAATTTATTCTCACTGAGAGAAGTTATACTCACTGAAAGACTGTAGTCTCACTGATAGACTGTATTCTCACTGAGAGAATTTATTCTCACTGATAGACTGTATTCGCACTGAGAGAATTTATTCTCACTGATAGACTGTATTCTCGCTGATAGACTGTATTCTCAATGAGAGAATTTATTCTCACTGATAGACTGTATTCTCACTGATATCTCAATGAGAGAATTTATTCTCACTGATAGACTGTATTCTCACTGATAGACTGTATTCTCGATGAGAGAATTTATTCTCACTGATAGACTGTATTCTCAATGAGAGAATTTATTCTCACTGATAGACTGTATTCTCAATGAGAGAATTTATTCTCACTGATAGACTGTATTCCTCATGATAGACTTTAATTGATGTTCTAGAATGTTCTGATGAGAAGGATGCTAGAAGATGGGTTTGCTCCAACCAAAACCAAACTTATAAATCAGACTGCACTCTCTACAGGTGTTTATTCCTAAAATATACAAAGGACTCCAGAGACGACAGTATTGAATTTATGCTACAATTCACGATATTTTGAACATTTCTTTCTTTCTTTGCCAAATCATTAAATAGACCTTTAAAATACTATATTAAAAGCAAAACACTTAGTTGTCATAAAGCTTTACAGTGTATCCCTTTCGAAAGTAACCCTATGTATCAGCATTCTACTTCAAGTTATCATTTCACTTTGTACGCTTACAGTGTACATGTCTTCTTTGGTTATTTCAAGTAATAAAGAAAGGAGGTGGCATCAGACCCCCCTCCCCCCAACCTCCCCTCTCTTTTAATACACTAAATACACTTGTTTTGATAAATGAATTAGGTTAAAGAAGGGGTGGACAATTCTAGAATACTGTGCAGAATTAATAAATTAAAGGGAACAGAGAAGGAGATGGCGACACTTAACATACCCCTTGGATGAACTGAAAACCTAATAATTTCATAATTGCAACGGGGGATGGCGACTGGACAACCCGCCCTCCAACCCCCCTCCCAAGCTCCTTCATTCGATATATATAGATCTCGGTGCTGGTGTGAAGAAAACAGCCAACACTGTGAGAAACCTGAGAACAGGTAAACTTTGAAAACAGGCTGTACCCGAAAAAAATCGGATTCAAATCGCCACTAATTTTACTTATCTATGAAAAAATGATTAAAAACGCTAATGCCTAAGAGGATAGAGTCAATATGAATTATAAATTAGTTGTGCTATTCCAGTCAAACCGTTAATAATTCAATTAAAGTAAAATTTTACAATTAATAAGTTACGTATTTTTTTGGATTTTTAATGAGTTAATATTTCATATTCTGTATTATTTTATACATTACATATTGAAACCGGCTTATTTAATTAAATTGATTGATTGATTTGTTGATTATTGATTGATTGCTTTTCCCAAGGCACCTTCATGTCGAATACTATGGAGAATGTCGAGATATCGGGACCTGCAGCGAGGACGAAATTGTCGACTTTCCTCGAAGAATGCGCGATTGGCTTTTTAGGAAACCGGAGATATAAAAACTATTTATTATGGAGTATTGACATACAAGTTTTATTAAAATTTAAATACTGACTTCTTTTCCAGATTTTGTTTTCAATGGCATTTTGCAAATTTTAAGTTTAAAAAACTTATTTTGTAAAATTTGGTTTTTCATCATTCTATAAAAACTATAAGAATAAAATCAATACATCTAGATTGCTTAAATGTCGTATTCATATCCCAAAGTTTCATGGGTATCCCTATATAAAGATTTGGGTCTTTTTTTCTAAATTTTTCCGATGTATGTTACAATTATTATGACATGTAGTGTGCTTGTTGAGTATCCTAATAATAGAACATATTTCAAAGCCTTAAGAATATTGAAATTGTTAAGTCTTCTCCACTGCTTTGAATTGCATTTGTCTGGTTCAAATCAAAAGTATATTTCAATATTCATATCATAACTATCTTCATTCTGTTTTAACATAGCTTTCTTCAAAACAAGCTTTCTCATGAAAACGCTTTATAATTGCAATAAGATGTAAAAATATGTTTTTATAAACTAGCATGCATCCCATACATAGAGATATGGGTTATGGTTTTTTCAGATTTTTCTGCTAGCTAATTTTTTGGGGGTTAGACTTGTCTGTAACTTATTTGCTGAATGAGTGTTGACTGTAAAACTAGCTCCAAGGAAATCTGTTTGAACAAAAACTGTTTTGTTAATTTGTTAATTAAATGAACAAAAAACTGTATTTCTGGTTTAGTGTAATGAAAGATTTGTCTGAACGTGCAGAAATCTCCGAAAAGTTCAAGCCGGTCAATCTAGACAACAGTCAGTCCACCAGGTACTGGTAGTGTAGGTCAACTTAGACCAGGTAGAGTGGTCAACTTTGACTAAGTAGGGTAGGTCAACTTAGACCGGATAAAGTAGGTCAGCTAATACCAGGTAGGGTTGGTAAACTCAGACCAGGTAGAGTATGTCAACTTAAGTAGGTTAACTTAGATATCTGAAAATTTGTAAAAATACTATTGTTCTTATGGTCTAACAAAATTATAAATTTATTGTCTTATTTGATGTATTTGATGATTAACTTTCAGAGTTTCAGTACACTGTAGATTCAAAATGTTAAGCTCTATGAATAGACGCTCGTTTACCCGGGTTAATTATAACAATATTAATGAAGCTAATAATGATTACAGCAAAAATAATGATATTGTAGATGGAGTGTGGCTGCAGTATGGAAATGGTGTGATCTGGATAAACATCCTCATGATAATATTGTTTCTAGACATGAACTTTTTCCACTCAGGAATATATCCTTCATTTCAAACAAATATTTTTTTTATTTGGAAAATTTTTTTTTAAAAATTTGTAAAAAAAAACACAATGGGACTGTCGAATTAAATTATTTAGAGCCTTAAAAGAGTTTTATGTCTGATTCACAAGATATTCTGGTTTTCCATTTGGAAAAATTGATAATTTTCTTTGCCGCATTTATGTATTAGAGAAAAAGAAAGAAAAAGACAGAATTCAATTCAATAAGTTGTATATAAAAAAAGTGAATAAAATTGTACCAAAAACGATTTACTATAAAAACAATCTTGGTTGAGTTATTTTAATCTCCATCCCTATTTTTAAAACGTCAAACCTATCAACGATATTTGGAACTTTGTCCTCAGTTTAATTTGTTTAATCAATTTAAGCATGAAGTTGCTTAAGGTTAAGTCTGGTGGTTTCTTTTTATTATGCCCGGATGAATTTACCCTAACAATTCTGTAGTAATTTTGTTCATTGCTCCAGGCAGCATTTAACTTGATGTTTCTTTTTATAAAAATAAACAATATCAAATCAAATCAAATCAATTGACTGCAGTAATAATGAATCATACCAGCTAAAAAAACATCAGAAATTTAAAAACTGTTTTCACAAAGCTCTCCTGTGATCCTTAATATAAATAATTTTTTAAGAATATATTTATATATAAACCCTTTTCATTCCACCATACACTTACAGTATTAGACATGTTTATTTGGTAAAACGTAAAACAACAATTTCAAAATGAACTGATTACGCATCTATAAAACCTTTAATATTCTAATCAATATGTCCTTGAAACCTGATGATGTCAACTATGATTGTTTGATCTAGCAGAAGTATTGAAATATCAGAGGTCTCCAAAACCAGGTGGAAATATGTATGGGTTTCTAGAGTTAATAATCATAAATTTTCCCAGCATTTCCAAAATGTGGTCCGCCTTTCGATATATTTGTTATTGCAGTCTTATTGTCCGAAATTAGTTTAATCGATGCCTTTAGTTTGGTTTGGTTTAGTTAGTTTTAGTTAGGTTTGTTTATCAATGAAAAAATGGATAATATTGCAGAGCACCTTTACACTCCCTGGAACGCTGTATTTCTCCCTTTCTGGACAGCTGTGATACAGATAACGATCATTCGATCACAATTCAGGTATGTGGTCTGATATCAGTGATCATTGTTTTTTTTTCGGGGTTTTAGAAGCAATTTCATTCATGCAGGAGCAAAATTGTATCTTAAGGTTAAAAATTGATATTTTGATAGTTAAAGAGAAGTGTAATTGAACAACAATATAAGCTGAGCTGCTTGAATGCATCAAATAGAACATTAAAAAAATAATAAATGTCCACTTTATTGACTTACAAGGCTAGAAAGTGTAAAGGAATTGAGGTATTGCCGCAAACTCAAATAATTTTTCTAATACCAATATATTTGTTACCTAATAGTGTTAACCTTTGATATCTTTTTCAACTTACAGGAGTCATAGTTGGAAATATCTAAGGTCTAAAACATTGTGTTGCAAAGATATAGGATTTTCACTGTATTTCTAGGAGTGGGCCGATTGCCTGGAGCTTGATATAGAAGATTTTATTCTTAGATGTGAAGATATTTAATTAAGCAAAATTTACATATAAAAAATATATTTATTTTTTTATCATATTTGAAATTGAAGATGACGTCAAAGGGATAAACTCTAGGTAAAGATTGTTTATGAAATGTCAAGTTGTGAAAAGTCCTTCATAGAAAAACAAATAAACATTTTGTAAAAAATCTTTCGATCATTTAAAAACGATTTTTATCAGTTATAAAAAATACGAAATATATCCGGCCATCTCTATATTTCAGTCCCCGACTCTTTTCTCTCTTAAAAGATTATTTCTCTCTTTTATTCTCTAGCATACTTCACGCTAAACTAAATATACCCTAGCAAATCCCATAATTATATACATCTTATATTGTCTGTAAACCTAAATGCGCATATCAATAACTACGCAAAACTTGTATTGCGATCAACCTAACCGAGCTACGTCTGTAAATAACTACGTTGAACCTGTAATATGGTTATCTTAACTATGTTAATATATAATGACGCAGAACTTGCAATTACGTCAATCAATTTAATCTGTAACATAGAAATATAAATAAACGTCAGTCGTAATACTCCACTTGTTTTACAGTGTCACAGTAATTATATTCCTCGTAGACCAACGAGAGGGTTTCAGTTTATCTGGTACGATCATATACCAAAGAATACAGATAAAGTTGTCTCCGGATTGACATTCATATTAAAGTATTGTTGAACTGACCATAGTTCTAATGGTTCGCCCAACAAAGTGAGAGGGATTGAGCATTGATTCAGATAAGGTCATGTATGGATTGAGATTGATAGTAAAGTATCATTGAACTTATTAGTTCTTATGCCTCGTAGACCAACGCGAAAGATTGAGTTGTACCTGGATTGATACGGGCCTGAAAGCGGTTTTAGAAGAAAGGCATTTTCTACAGATAGAGCTGTTCTAAAGACTAGGATTAAATACCATAGATAGAACTGTTCTGTAGGCAAGGATGGAATCATAGAGAATAGAATATATAGAGAGGAATTTACTGGAAAAAAGTGTAAAACGGCCATTTTGTTGTACTGTTTCCATACTGCAGGTGTACTTCACATATTTATGCTATATAACCTGTTGGGCCCTGGAATATCATTTTATAGAAAATCTAAAATTATTGTTAAAAGAAAACCAAATTATGAAATAGGCTGGTTTCATAATTGACCAATGATCATTTCACATAGACTCTATGCCTTCCACTTTACAAACGATGATTTTCCGTTATAACTATAAATCAAATGATGTTTTTATTCACCTAATTCATTATAAAGTTTATTTAACAGTTTAAAAAATTCGAAATTGAAATGGATAGGCTAGGGAACATACTGTATTAATGTACTCTACTGCATATAATTTGTGAACATTTACATGATTTGTACACTTTGAACTCCCTTTCAGGCTAGGGAACATACTGTATTAATGTACTCTACTGCATATAATTTGTGAACATTTACATGATTTGTACACTTTGAACTCCCTTTCAGGCTGAAAGGGACTGAAAAAAATCAGACCGAGAAATTCTTTTAATTCCTCTCTATATATTCTATTCTCTATGGATGGAATACCATGGCTAGAACTGTTCAATAGACAAGGATAAAATACCATGGATAAAACTGTTCAATAGGCAAGGATGGAATACCATGGATTGAACTGTTCAATAGGCAAGAATGGAATACCATGGATAGAACTGTTCTTTAGACAAGGATGGAATACCATGGATGGAACTGTTTAATAGACAAGGATAAAATACCATGGATAGAACTGTTCAATAGGCAAGGATGGAATTCCATGGATTGAACTGTTCAATAGGCAAGAATGGAATACCATGGATAGAACTGTTCTTTAGACAAAGATGGAATACCATGGATGTAACTGTTCTGTAGGCAAGGATGGAATACCATGGATAGAACTGTTCTGTAGGCAAGGATGGAATACCATAGATAGAACTGTTCTGTAGGGAAGGATGGAATACCATAGATAGAACTCTTATGTAGGCAAGGATGGAATACCATGGATAGAACAGTTCTATAGGCAAGGATGGAATACCATTGATAGAACTGTTCTGTAGGGAAGGATGGAATACCATTGATAGAACTGTTCTGTAGGCAAGGATGGAATACCATAGATAGTTAACTCTTATGTAGGCAAGGATGGAATACCATGGATAGAACTGTTCTATAGGTTAGGTTAACAATAAACAATTTGTTCCTGATAAATGAATAAACATTGTTAGGTTAATACAGGTTTACTCTTTTCTCTAGCGGATAATATTTAACCAAGGGGGCCATCAATACAAGATTACATAAATAAACAGTTCTCATATAGATACATAAATAGATAGATAAATAGATAAATAGATAAATAGATAAATAGATAGAGCTATAGATAAAGATATAAAAGATAAAAGAAACTTTTACGAAAAAAGAGATGAAAATGAAAGATAAAAATAAATTTATAAATAAACTAAATGTTATTTAATTCTCAATTACAATCTCAATTAAATGCTTTCTCTTGTAACCCCTAGAAAAGTATTGGCTTGATAAAGATAACAAAACATCACGGTTTAGAATTAGAAGGATAAGGAGGAGGATGGGGGGGGGGGAGGAAAGGAGTTGTGGGAGGAAGAAAAATTAGTGAGGGAGTGAAAGATAAGGATGGTAGGGTTTAAAGAAGTAGAAATATTGAGAAAGGGGGTAATGAAAGAAAGAAAAAAGGAAAAAGGGAAGAAAAGAAGGAGCTGACAAAAAAAAACAAGTGAAAGAAAAGTTAAAGGAGTAGTAGAAGAATGGAAAAAAAAGAATGACGAGAAGAGAATGAGAGAAGGAAGGAGAGAAAGAGAGAAGGAGAAAATTAGAAAAAGAGAGAAGAAGAGAAGGAGAGAAGGAGAGAAAGAGGGAAGAAGAGAAGGAGAGAAGGAGAGAAGGAGAGAAAGAGATAAGCAGAGCAGGAGCGAAGGAGAACAAGGGAAAGAAACTAATCAACTATGATATAAATATTTATCTCTCTATCTGACAGTATAAGAGATATTAAGAACAAGGGTAGAAACTAATCAACTATAATATAAATATTTATCTCTCTATCTAACAGTATAAAAGGTATTAAGAACAAGAGTAGAAACTAATCAACTATGATATAAATATTTATCTCTCTACCTGACAGTATAAACAATATATAGGGCTTTATTTCTTTTATCATATTTCTTCTTGAAATTATGAATATTTTAATTAGTTTGATAAGAATATTACAATGGAACCTCTCTTTATTAAACTTCCTGCATACTTAATCTTATTTTTCATTTCTTTCAACTTTCTTAATCCAAGAATTTTTTTTATTTTCTTTCCCTTTTTTGCCTTAAAAAAATGTCCAATTATTAACTAGCTGTACAACTGAACGCTTTAAAGGGAGTGACCGGCAATGGTTGGTGGTTGAACTGAATATGTAGTTTTTTGGAGAATTTTTTAGGTTTCATTTGAGACATTTAAACGTTTCCACTATGTATAATTGTTGAGTTTGAGAGCAAAGTCGACGTTCGAGATCATGGGTGGGAAAATTTTCCGAATTGTGTTTTTTTTTTAATTATTAAATAACGATAACTAAAATGTAAACAAAATTCTACAGTAAACTAGTTAGTTGTTTAGGAACAGTTTTAGAAAAAAAACTCTTATCATCGAATATAAGTAATCTTATTCAAATATCAGTATCTATAATCTCTTATTATTCACAAAGATTTTCTGCAGATTTTGTGGATTTTTCATGGAAAAGACGACATTTGAAGAATTTGTAGAAATTTATAGAAAATAAGAAATTCTATATAATGATGAAAACGAAATAGTTGATTCTAACATTGATTTAATGACAAATTTCTTTTGAGAAATATGCTCATAGAAACATCTAATTAGTTTACTATAGAATTTTTACCGTATTTTCGTCATCGTTATTTAATAATTTATCAAAAAACAATTCTGAAACAATTCATGATTTCAAACGTCGACTTTGCACTCAAACTCAGTAATCATACATCGTGGAAACGTTTTATGTGTCTCAAATGAATCTTTAAAAAATGTTCTACAATACTGCTTACTCAGTTCAACCTCCATAAATTGCCGGTCACTTCCTTTAAACCATTATTTATGAAACAATGAGGTTTAGCTACGCTCAGTATGATAAACGCCTGGTTTAAATAAATACTTTATTACTGACCAATTTTTCTTTATCAATTTAAGAAATAAGAAAATATGTCTATTCATGGTGACATGGCAGATCTGAGTTCTTCTTGCAACGTCTCTCTATCCGGTTTAGACTTGGATCGTCTTCCGCCACATTACTCCCCCCAAGAAGGAACGGCGGAGCCAAGGCGGAGCAGGAACTTCTTCCCCTAGCCTGTCTGTGCGGGTTTCTTCTCAGCACAACTGTAGGTTTGTTGAGGAAAGTCACAGATTTCTTCTTGGAGGCGGAAGAGTTCACAGCGGGGCGGAGGATGGCTCAGGAGAATGTCTTGCTGGGCGAAGAGGAGGACGTCCTCGAGGCGGAGGATCAGCTGGAACCACAGGGGAGTCTGAAAACACTGGCTTAAGACGATCAATCGAGACAGAATCCACCTTGTTACCAATCTGGAGGCAGAAGAACTTGTTCCGCCGCTCTAAAACCAAGTAAGGACCACGGTATAGAGGATTCTGAAGATCTAACTTAGAAAAGATGGTTGAACCTGTGACTCTAGAGGTGAAATCAGCAATATTAGGTAAAGGGTACCGATCAGGAACTGTAACAGTGTTCAATCTTCTGTAATCACCACAAGGACGCCAGCCTCCCTCCTTCTTTCTGACCATATGGAGAGGCGAAGACCAAGGAGAATTAGAGCGACGGATGATCCCAGCTTTCTCCATGGCAGAAAACTCTTGTTTGGCGGACGCCAACTTCTCCGGGTCCAGACGTCGAGCCTTCGCGAAAACCGGAGGTCCAGGTTGCGTGAGTAGATGGTGGGTAACTCCGTGACAAGGTTTAGAGGCCGTGAAACCGTCGGACGAGACCACATCTGGAAACTCTGCGA